AGTGATTGTAGCGATGATGATGATGACCATGGTCCTAAGGTATGTGTCCTGGCCGTTCTCTGTGGACCAGGGCAATGTCCTGGTCTTCGCGACGCAGTGGTGGCAGGTCTGCGTTTGTAGGGCCTGGGTTTCAGGTTTGGGTTGGCAGTTGCTGGTTGACCGTGTCGTGAGGCCCTGTCCTGTGCGTATGGTGTCTCAGGCTCTCTGTCCCGGAGGCCGGTCGCAGGCCCTAAAGCCTTGAACGCGCTACGCTGAAACACCGCAGTGTGCTGAATGCTGAGAAGCTGAAAGCCACCTGAAGCCAACAGAGTGGCGTCAGGATATGGGAAGATGGTGATTGTAACCTGGAAAGTTGCAAGTCCGCAATATCCCGTATTCCGAAGTAAGCAACACGAGGGTGTACGTCTAACAGGAGGGCCTGCAGAAAGCCGTTTTCAGAGATGCAAGAGAGCAGGCAGTGATAAACAAATGAAATCAAAACATGCAACATAGCCCAGGACAGCGGCCATTCTTGTCGCGAGTACATGAATACCAGAATGCAAAGAAGCACCAGAGCATGTGCCGTGGATGTAGGCAAGCATACGCAGCCGGTGTGTAAGAACTCCTGAACTCGGCAGTGCAAGAATATGGGAACCTGGGAACAGCATGTCCCGGAATGCCACCCGAAGGCCTACATCAAGCTACAAATCATGCCAAGCCCAAGAGCTCAGAGATTGGTTGCCATCTACACCCTGACATATGAGAGCGAAACCCTCAGCATCAATTCCTCAAACCAAGCGTTTGCGGAAAAAGCGGACTAATTTCGTGCATTCGTGACTTAGCGCATGCGAAGAGCCGGAGTAGAAGCCGAGACCCCTAAATCATGGAGACCCTTACAGGGGTAGGGGGGGAGCGGGGTAGGGGACTCCTTAAAAGGCCTTATTAATCCCTGATCTAGTTTGCTGGGCTATTACTACTAGTAGGGTATTAAGGCGCGCTACCCCTCTCCTCCTTACCCCCAGAAGGGCGCCTATGACTAAGCCGCATCCACCGAAAGCTAACTACCACCAGGCCCTGCACCCCCAGTAAACAGGTGAAGTTGGGGGTTCCTTACTATAATTGTAGTAGAGTCTGTATAACCAAAGACCTTATTCTAATTATTTACGGCGCTCCCCACCCATGTTAAGGAAGAGCCAGGCAGCATTTCACTGCCCTGAGAGGAGCTCGGAGGCTACGACCGCTTGATGCGAGGCAGCGGGCTACGTTCATTTCTTGTTCCTCTCGGGTTCAGGGCTAAGATAGTACAATACCGTAGAATATACGTAACACAATATGATAGAACATAATATGACAAACAGCATAACCCTAAACCCTAAACCCTACACCCTCCTATCGACCTGCATTCTGCAGCTCACAAAGGCCTCTGAAACCCCTAAACCCTAACCGCCCTTCCACTGCAAGTGATTTTCCTGAATGCTCGGCCCGAGAGCTCTGGATCTAGCTCTTGCAGAGAGCTTAAGTTTTCAATCATTGTTCGGAGCGTGGGGCGGAAAGGGGGTTTGATGAGGTGATCTCGTGCTTCCGATGTGTTAGGGTTGATTTTTGAGGCGGTATTGGTTGGAGCTGGGGCTTTGGAGTGCCCGATTCGTCCGATGCTGTAGCTGCTGCGCCTTCCCGGCCCTCTCCGGAAAGTCTGTTGTGCCAGGCTCCTCGACTCTGCTTCTAGAGAACATCGAGCAGCTAGGTTGCAGGTTCTGCCTCTTTCGGTGCCCGTTGAAGTCGTCAGGCTTGTGCAGTCCATCGCATAGAGCACGAAGCTGTAGTCCTTGTTGAGCGGCAAAAGTTGGACATGCCAAAGCCACTCAAATTTTTGTAGCAATAAGCGCTGCGGACTCACACCTTGTTCAGAGTCGAGAGCAATCCTCAAATCAGAGCCCTTGCATTTACGCGCTTTAGAATGTGCAACCCTTGTAGCAACACTTACCGGGCAACACCTGGTAGCTCTGACATTCCGATGCTTTTCCAGGGAAAGGCGGCCCTGACTCGCGGCAACTGTTGATGATATAAATCCTGCATTACCTTAGGGATCTTAAACTATGGGAATTACGGTATATTCCTTATTATGGGTAATGCAGGACTATCATCAACCGAAGCACCCTCAGGGCCGGCCCCGAAGAAGCTGTAAACTGTAATCGCTTTATCCTACCCCGCAATACATGGGCAGTTCTCTAAAGTAGGGTCTGTCCTATTTACAAGTGAGCCGTACAATGTTGGGGACCTCAAAGGGGAGCCTCATCTAGGGAACTACCTATATATAATCCGAATAGAACCTGAAGGCAGCCCTACTGTGATCCCAATGAGGAGAAAGACGCTCAGAATCCTAAAAACTGTTGTATTATATATATATATATATACACATAGATATGCAACCTTATATATATATATATATATGTATATGTATATATATATATATATATACACACAGAGATATGGCTAGAGTTTTGTTTGTATCATTGTAAAGTCGAAAGTATGTTCGATGCTCCTAAGGCTCTCCCTGCGTGTCTTGCTCTGTGGCGGCCAGTTTCTGCCCCTGAACAATAGCGTGGTGGGCTTCTGCCATGCGTGCCTCGGTTTGGGGTTTACAAGCTTGGTAAGTCTCATGGGCGGCATGGTAGTAATACAGAAGGAGCATCGAAACTGCACCTGCACTTTAAAAACATCGGATCTGACTGGGCATAAAGCCCTACTGCCTGAGCCTCAACCCTGAGCCCTGAACCCTGATCTGGCTGGGCCGAGAGTGAGGGGGTGACCCCAAACCCCCACAGCCGACGGACCCTGCGGCATTTTGGGGCTTCTATCGCAGACGTGCAGACTCCGGGTCATGTAATGGAACATCAAGTCATCAAACCGTCAAGCCCAAGCCACAACATCCAAACCGCAGATGGTGATGTTAAGCAGGGGTCAGTTCGGGGTGAGTGTTTTCTCGGTCATCGCGGCATCACTGTGTGGAGATGTTCATATGACGAGTTGCATCGGGGCTGGCGCAGGCTGTCTACACCAAGAGCTTTCGAAGCTGTAGATCCTAGAATTTCGCACGAATATTTTCGGAGGGCTGGTGTCAGGTTTAGGGTTGGTGATTATCAGCCCAGGCGGCATGGGACGTTGCACCACGAGCGAGGCGACATGCTGTACAACCAGGCAGGAGCTTCGAAATTGAAGTGGCACCATAGTCGCAGAACCGATGCATGTCTCTCCCGATGTACCTATCTATGCATGTCTCAGAGTCGATACTTACTACATATGTTGCACACCTGGCTCGTGGTGCTGGTGCTCCGAGTCGTAAGTCCTAACAGCAAGCGGGTATACAGAGAGTACACAGTTACATTACATTACATCATATTGTATCATACTGCTTATTAATATATGTGTATATATAGTTATATATATACATGTATATATATATATATATATATATATATACACATACATGTATACTCAACGCCCCCTACACAGTGACGGGCTGGAAGTCAAGGATTGGTTCGTTGATTTGTGGAACAGGCCAATGCAGTCCATTTGTAGTTCTCCTTTGAGCGTCCCCTGGGCCCGATTCCAACCCTTCAGGCCCCACAGGTATAGGCCTTACGGTGGGCCCCTTTAAAGGAACCCTTAAAGATCCCTTAGAGGGTACTTTAGGACTATAGGATTCTATAATGGGGTCCCTTTAAAGCTAGTGAGTACGTAGTACCCTTTTGCCCTTTTATGTTGGGGTCTCATTCCTAAAACAGAATAGTCGGAAAAGGATTCCCTTATTATAAAGGGGCTGCTCAGGAACCTAGATACTATAGCCTGCTTTCGATCCCTTGTAGACCCCTTTAAGGAGCCCCTTAAAGGGGTGCCCTATTCTGACTACGTATTAAGGCCCCTTTAGTAGGCCTTGTGACGAACGCCTCGCATCTTGAATCCGGCGACCCGGCACGGACGAGGCGCGGATTATCGAGGCCTGGTTCGGCCAGTGGGCTCCAGAGGCACGGAGGGTTTAGGGATGTTTAGGGTTTAGGGTTTAGGGATGTTTAGGGTTTAGGGTTTAGAGTTTAGGGTTCCTGGCATATGCATAGTCCAGGTGTAAAAGGGTTCCAACTCCCGGCGAAGTGGAAAGCCTGTTGCCAAAAGGGTTTAGGGTTGAGGGTTTGAGGTTCAGGGCTTATGGGCTAGTTTCAGGGTTCTGCATTTACGGTTCAGGCTGTTAGGATGCCGGGTTTAAGGCTGGAGGTGCAGATATTTTGCTGCAGTCGTCGTCCTTGTCCTCATCGTCTCGTCATGGTCTTCTCCATCATGCCACCGCTGCACAGGCCGTGTTGCTGCTCGCAGTGTGGGGCCTGCTTGGAGTTTGATCCAAGTTTAATCAGTGGCTTGCGCCGAGTTTTGCTACCATGTCTTGCCCGCCCATCCAGGAGTCCTGGTTTCATGCATTGGGAGTTTCCGAAATGGGGGACCCCAATATAATACCCTAAATAGTAGGATCCTTATGATCAGGACCCCAAAATAAGGTACTCCTACTTACTCTCACCTGCTCATGCTCCCCCTTCCGCAGACTCCCGATGTTGTGAAATATTTGTTGCGACCACTCGGGTGTGGACTGAAGAGCCCCGACGCATGTCCGCATTGAGGCTTGCGGTCACGGGCTTAGCTGTAGCTACGGGAGAGGTCTCGATCCCATAGAGCACTTGTGCTTCACTCTGCTTGACTCTTTGCGCTCAAGTTGCACTGCAGGGGTCTGTATGCTTGGAGCCGGCCTGCCTTATGTAAAGTCGTGAGTTGTTCAACCCTCGTCTGACTTGTCGAGCACGAGTGACAAAAAATGCTCGTGCAAATCTACATAAAGTTTTCGAGCGGAACATATCATGAGTTGTCAGACTATCTTTAGGCCGCATGGACTGATCATGTTTCTTCATGTTGCTGGCAGTGGCCGAAGTTCTACTGTAGGTGTGTGGTCAACAAGGCACCCGGCTGAACTGTGAGCCATGGCATTCACGCCTGTATTGAAATATGCTGTGAATCCTTGGCTGCTGACTGCGATCTACTTTCCACTTGTTAGCTTGCCGATTTGGTACTTCGCACTGTGGTCAAGTTGGTCCAAGTTTGCCTCTTTGACAACAGCGAACAGCAATGACCTGTTTACGGTGGCGTTGTTTCTGCTGGATTGCGGCGCCACCGTTTCAATCACGTTTTTGCTGATGCAAGCCGCCTACAAGTGGAGCATTTGCCAAGCCTGTTTCCCGGCATTTTTCTCCCGTGTCGATCATCCCCTACACTTTCTGGATAGACTTCGCTGGTTCTGCGCCGTTGTTTGCGGAGGTTTGCTCGTCTGGTTGGGACATCAGTCACCCGGACCGATGTTCGCTTTCAGCTTGCTTCCTGGCCCCCGAATTCGTGAAGCTTCTTACGACCAGCTGCCTGCCGCCTTCGAAGCTCATGGCGATCGGCTTTTGGAAGTCGAGGGCATTCTTGACGAGAGCCGCATGGCCAGCACCAGCTACTGCACGTGTGAGCATTGCTACTCGGTTGCTTGTCCGATGCCCCGTCCTTCGATTCCACAGGGCGTGGATTCCATGGAGACACCATCACGCTTGTTGCGTGGTGCTGGCGGAGGTGGTGGCGGCGGTGGTGGTCATTTTTCCTCGAGCGGGCGACGGCGGCGTTGCGCATCGACATGTGTCTATGCTGCACCAATATTACCAGTCAATGAAGAATCGACTTCCGGAGGATGCCCAGTCGCATTTGCAATTCATCAAGACACGCCTCCGTTTTCTGCCCCACTACTGGTGTCGGGGACGGCGAACTACGAATGGTGGGGTGGTGGAGCAGAGGCCGTCTACCATGAAGCCGCAAGTTTGACAGGTTCCGATCTCATGTGCAGGGTTCAACCATTTTTGTACACCATCGATCCCCATGCCGGCAGCTGGTGCTTTCTGGTGATGCTTCTCCTGTCAGTGATCTGCTTGCCATGCCCTTGGGCCCTTGCTGCTAGAATGCTTTGGACTCGTGGGTGGGAGGCTCAATCCGAGCAATTCTTGGATTATGCAGCAGAGCACGAGCGGCAGGAGGAGGCTGAGCAGTGGTTCCGAACTGCGACGCTGGATGGGCCAGTCACAGTCAGGCTTCGTGCTGAGGTTAACGAGGCACTGTCGGGGTAGTGGTGTCGCCATGTTTCGAGCCAGCAGTCGTAGAGAACTGGGGGTGGGTCTGGGGCTAGGGAGCCGTACCAGTTTGATTCGTAGTTGTGGCTTGTGGTTGCAGTGGCACTTGTCGATGTATCAAAGCTAAGCCTCACATCTCCAAGCTGTGTTCAGGTACCGCCTTCCGTGAACAGGAATGAATGGCAAACTTGGTGGCTCGGATCGTCTACCGCATTCCGGGGCGGCTACGAGCAGCTCCCACGTGCCCCGGAGCACGAGCTCCGCGGATTCCACAGCACTTCGCTGTTGTTGCACGTGCGGCGCATTGCAGCAGATCGCCTCGACTTGAATTTGGAGAAAGTCGGCCTCAAGCGCGATGGCCAGGAATTGCCGAGCCAATCAGATTTCATGACGTTGGAGGAACTGAACATCAGGAATGGCACCAGCATCTCAGGTTTCAAAAGACCTGGCCGAACCTCATCTTGGCGAAAGGGCCTAGCTGGGAAGTTCGAGCAGAGCATGTTCGATTGCTGGTGCCGGCACAAAGACGTGGAACGGGCTGGGTTGTGTGAGCACATCGAGCGAGGTGAGCTGCAATATGTGGACGTCGCTCGAGTGCACTTAAACTCAGGGTTTTGGGTTTCAGAGTTGAGTCCGCTTGCGCCGGATCTCTTGGACAACCTAGGCCTCTCCTGCGGTTTTCGGCGAGTCCTACAAGGAAGGCTGGATTTGCGACGCATGCGACAAGCGCTTCCCCCGAAGTCAGATGATGAATCGGTGCGTCGCTTGCAAACTCGACTTCTGCGACGGCTGCGTAAGTGCCGCAAGATCCGGCGCCGAGCAGCTGCGATGATATCACCTATTACTACTGGTGAGCGCAGCTTCCAACAAGCTCTGAGTGCTCTGTGTATCCCAAGCTTGAGTTTGAGCTTTCTCAAAAGCACTCGAATGTTTATTATTTCGAAGATGAAAGAGTAGATAAGTTAGTTATGTCATAGATGCACCATGTGTTTCTGCGTATATGCAGGACCTTCGTCTTTGTTCACATAGGAAGCTGCATAGAAGTGTTTCTGCAAGTTGCGCATCGGCCGTGCACCCTTGGTCTCGGTACATCCTCTGGCTTTACAGCCCAGGTTACTGGCATGTGTTCAGGTTTTCACACAACCCTAAACCCTAAACCAGCTTCCCGTAGGCTCAGGTACTTGCAGTAATCAGGCGACTGTCCCTGTATTCCCCTGGCTGCAGGAGATACCTCGCTACTATCCGTAGGAGTATCGGCGGCAGGCTAGCGGGCAAACTAAGATCTTGAGTCATTGGTTGGAAGTGGACCAAGAAATATGTTCTATACCTGAGCTCTTACCTAAACCCCCCAAAGTAGGTAAAATAGTTGCCCCAATACCCATAAAAGGCTATTATTCTACATACTTTTGGGGTCCAGGTAGGGTGGTAAAGGATATTCCGCAGATGGATGCCTCACCAGCTTGGTCCTCCTTCACACTCTCGGTATCGACCGAATGCGCCGGCACAGCTTTCAAGATGCAGTGGCTCGGCTGTATATAGGCAATCACCAACGATAGCTGCCAGAAGTGCGGAATGGACTGCTTGGAAGCATCCACTCATTGCAATCTGCATCTACCTCGGTCTTGTGGGTGATTTGCTAGTAGCCACTTGGTGGGATAGGGCATGGATGGAAGTGTGAATGTCGTTGCTATACTGAACACGCTTGGCATGCGCATGTTTTGGGGGTAATGGGGCATGTGCACTTCTGTGGCAGATGGTTATCCGACCTGCTTCTACTTCCAGGTGATCTTTTCGATATTCATGAATGTGAGAAGTATGATTGTGAGATGTATGATTGTAGTCGTCATGCTTATCGTGATCGAGTAAATGCGGTGCCTTTCCAAGCAGTCCAAGATCAGTGGTTGCAGAGAGTGATAGACAGCTCGCGTGCTCAGCCATTAGCGCTGGGGTCTTGGGCTTGGCTGAAGGGATTCAGGGCCTATTGCATTGCAGTACCTGTTCAACGAACAGCTATTTTACCCGCATATCTTTGCAACGCAGATTAATGCAACATGGAGTTTGCATTCGGGTTTTGGTGAGCAGTGAGACCCTGCAGCATGCGGAGTGCAACAAAAATGGCAAACCCAAATCGACTCTTGCAACTACACTTGCTGTTGTCTCTGCTGCTGCCGGGACTGTTTCCTTTCCGTTACTCGTCCTGCTCTCTCCCACACCCGCCAACACCACCCATAAAACTACAATTACTCCTACATCCTATTCCGGACTTGTGCGTACTACCAGGTACTAATCTACTAACTGGGTACTACCCGCTACGTGCTGTGACAACAGGAGCAACAAGAGCAGCAGCAGTAGCAGCAACAACAACAGCAGCAGCAACAGCAACAACAACAACAGCAACAACAAGGTGACACGTGCGTCTGCCGCGGCGCGGGGTGTGTCGTTTAGTTTTGGAGGTTTTTTGGTGAAACGCATGAAAACCTAGAGATTTGTGTGGTTGTCGTCAAGAAGACGATGTTTCGGAGTTTGTTTTCCATAGTAGTTTGCTCTTGCTTTTTGGCAACATTGTCATTGTCATTGTTATTGCCGTAGCTACCGTCATCGCCATTGTTATCGTCCGCCTAACCAATCAACATCATGCAAAATAACATCATCATCAGCCCCCCCCCATCCCCTGCTCCCCACCCCTGCACGGAAGTCAAATACATACACATGGAAGTGTATGCGATAAGTCGAGGGTCGGCACAGTGCTGCACAGAATCTTTAGGAAAACACCTCAAAAACCAAAGCGAAATGCCCCCCTTCCCCCCATCTACCCACCAATGCACAAACACACAAAACCACAAGAGATCCACGAAACCGCGTTCGAATGGACGTCATCACCCCCCCATCCCCCTCCCCTCCCACCAATGTACCGCACCAGAACATGGCCAACAAGAGAAACACAACACACAATCCGCATTCGCATGGATGTCATCACCCCCCCTCCGTCGCTTGCACAGAGCTGAAATACAAATGGAAGTCTGTCTAAGCTGGCATGTGCAAAAAGTCGAGCGTCGGCCAAAACACAGTAAACACCGATGCAAAATTCGCACATACAAAACACAGAAAAATGCGAAATGGAGAGCCCAGCATTTTGTTGTACAGTGTAGCCCGCCGGCTGTCGCATTCACCGCAAAAACCGATGCGCAAACAAAACGCAAAATCAATTCCGGACCCCGCGCGGAGGCAGACGCACGCGCTAACAACAACTGCAATAACGACATCAGCTGCAACGACAACAACAAGAGCAACAGAAACAGCAACAACAAACACCAAACAACAAACACGAAACAACAAACAACAACCAACAACCAACAGCAACAGCAACAGCAACAGCATCAGCAACAACAACAACAACAACAACGGCAACAACAGCAACACCAACAGCAACGGCAGCAGCAACAACAACAGCAACAACAGCAGCAACAACAACCATCACCATGACCACCACAACCACCGCAACCAACACAACAAGCATAACAAGCGCAACAAGCACAACAAGCACAACAAGCACAACAAGCACCTCAAGCACCTCAAGCACAACAAGCGCAAGAAGCACAAGAAGCACAAGCACAGGCACAGGCACAAGCACAAGCACAGGCACAAGCTCAAGCACAAGCACAGGTACACGCACTCGCACAAGTACAAACACAAGCACCAGCACAAGCGCAGCCACAACCGCAACAACAACTCCAACATAAGAAACAACAGCAACAACAACAACCACCCAAAGCAAAGCAGCAACACCAACTGCTGCCGCTGCATCTGTTGCTGCTACCACTACCACTACCACTATGACGAACACTACCACCAGGACGACTACTACTACAACTGCGCCTTTTACGACTTTGCTTTGCTTTACAGATCCGTCCTAGCACAAGAGGCAGACACAATTCAGTGCCGGTTTCTCACGGAAGAGCTCATGGCCCGGATATGTGGGATACACTTTTAAGCGATCCCAGCGACAATGCGAAATATTCCAGTGTGCAAGCAAGGATCACATGTGCAGGCTTATGTGAATGCTTGCGACTCAGGTTGCTGGTGCTTGATGTAAGACTGCATAGCTGCATATAATTGAAATATAACCATACATACTATGTATGGCTTTTGACGATCGGCTGTGAGGCAGTTCCAAGCACATTCGGAGGACAGTGCTTTCAAGTGGAGCCATTGTCCAGAAACCACGGGCTACTATCTTTGGACACGACAGACATTGCATGCAGTGCCCGCTAAGCAAAAGTCGCCGCTGCGAAACGGCTAACTCCCAAATCAAAAATGATATAGACGCACCACAACACTACACAACCAGTTCGAACAAGCCCTTGTGGAGGTGACTTTGCACATAATTGGTGATTGATACCTGCAGTGAACTCGCGCGGATGTTGAAGCGGCATTTTGGCTGAATGTGTCCTCTCTGTAATTCCGACTCCACAAGAGTTGGAGTTGGGCTTGACTACCAAATGGTCACGACCCTCGCCGTTTTCCGCGAGCACTGGAAGTCACCAGCAGATCGCATAGCACCCCGCTCCACTACCCGGCTATGCAGGAGGCAAAACAAGCCGAAGCCTCAACGTGACTTGACCTTACGAGCTCAGCGGTTTAAGCAACATGCCGCAGGCGCTCAAGCACCCACGGTTTACAGACTTCGCCACCGGCATCCGCGTGGTGGAAGACGTGTCTGAGACCAGAGCGCTGCAGGCGTTGACGAATCCCCGTCCTGCTTACTGCTTGCGAGGCATACTCTAATACTTATGCTGCCTGGTATGTTTTGTATGTATATGTCTGTATTCTACGATGTTCTTCTCCAGCCCGTGCTATCTAGCTTTGTCTGCCTCATTGTGTACCATTCTTCAGATTCTGCTCTATCTCGTTTGCTGTTCCCCATCATTGGCTTTTCGTCGTCATGATTTCGGCTTGGGCTTCTGGCTAATCAGAGGTTCGCATCTTGGCATTGAGGTAAGACAGATCCACGGAGGAGGGTTTCTGTCTGCTACTCGTATCTCTTGACTCTTCTGTCAGTCAAGTGAAGATCCAAGTAACGGGCACCTCAGAAGCAAGGCAGCAGCTGTAGAACAAAAACTTGAATACAACTTACTATTACTCAGAGAGAAAATGTGGAAGAATGAGCCCCGAAGCTTTGTTCTAATCCTTACCGTGACTGCAGAATAATATACCCCCCAAAGCATGTCCGAGAGTGAGTGCTGCGCCAGCCGGGATCTGTTGACTGACCCCGAGAGGCGCGGCTCCAATGCGCAGGCCGGGCCGCCTCGAGCTTGTACTGCTTCTCTGATGGGTGGGAGTTTCCGAAAATTAGGGGTACCTTATTTGGGGGTCCTGATAATGAGTATCCTACTATTTCGGGTGCTATGTTAGGGTCCCCTATTTTCGGAAACTCCGAGGTGGTACAGAGGGACCCCTTAAAGGGGACCCAGGCTCCCTTTACTGAGAGGGTCTATATCCCCAGGTTCCCCCTAATCGTAACTCCTAGCTTCCTAGCTTGTCCCGAAGCCGAAAGCCCCTATGGTTTACGGTGTAGGGTTCAGGGATTGAGGCAAACAAACCCTGAACCCTACTTTGGCACCGAACCCCAAAGTTGCCAACAAGTGCTTCAACGTTTACGGTCTGCAGAGTGAAGACTTAGAGCCTTGGGTGAGGTTTAGGGCTCAGGGCGAGAATCTGCAGTTGCCCGCTGCGCTGTAGATCCTGCTGCACCGAACTCCGCATCAGTGACGCTGTAGCCGCCGTGACATGCTTGGAAGGCAGACGTGCAGTTTGAGTGAAGTGAATGCTTCGGGTTTCGTGTTGTGACCGGGGCTTACTTCTGAGGGCATACGGTGGAGATGAGGCACGGATGTGCACTTGTCTGGCATGAGAGCAGCTGTCGGAGAGAGATTCCTGGTTCAACTGATGGTCTCGGTGAATTTGCCAGGCTTGGGCAGCTTTCTGGCAGCTCGCTCGCAACCTGTTCGTGGTTTTTGCTACAGGGTACTACGAATCTGGACGCAAGCTCCATGACACCGTGGAAGTCAACACGCAATCAATCAATCAATCAATCAATCAATCTTGCCTTCATTCATGCGGCGGTTCTGTGGCAAGGGTGACCTTCCCTGTGGCTACAGCAATAAGTGTAGTTCGAAACACATCCGTACCACCTCCCAGTCCTTAGACAGGGATTGTGTTCGTGAAGCTAATGGAAAGTCTGCAGCTATTCGCTGATCCGCCATGAACTTTGAGGCCGTAGGGCCCTAAAAGGCAGAACGCCCAAGTTCTAGGGCCCCGAGAGCCTAAGCCCCAAGCCCGTTATGCCTAAAACCCTAGGAGCCCAAGCCCTAAACCCCTTAGCCTAGACTAGGGGAGCACTCATATTCAAAAAGCCCTTAAGCCTACTTGGAGGATCATGGGACTTAGTAAGTAAGGTTATAAGTACCCTAATTTGAGTTATAAGTATAGTTACCTTATTTATCACCCTAGTTACTAAGTCCCATGATCCTCCAAGTAGACCCTAAACCCTAAATCCCTATAGATCCCCTTTAGAACCCCTTCAAAAGGAGCCCCTTGAGGAACCCTTTGAGGAACCCTAAGTCCCACCCAGAGACCATGAAGTCGACACTCCTGACACAGCGACTATGGCAAGAGGAGCTGCGCCGAACTCCTTTGGAGATCCTGGGTCTGCTTCCCATGGAGGTGCCCGGGGGCTGTGGCGACATGGAGGACAAGGGCCTATAGGTAACCGCGTAATAACCCTAAAGCCTAAAGCCCTCAACCCTACTAGTTCGGGGGGCTTCTTAGTACATAATTACACATAATGGCTTGGGGTTCCTTACTGCGTAACTACCAAGGCTGGCACCCAAACGCCCCTCTATTAAGGAAAGGCCTAGAGGTCCGGCGGGGGGGTGGCTTCCTACGATTTCGGACTGCCACTAAGTTGAGTGGGGTCGGTTAAAATTTTATACCGGGCTTACACGGCTTACGGAACTTATTGTGATAGATAGATTGCAAAAGCTTCCCAAGTTGAGGACCCCCGAAAAACCCAGCGGTTTCGGGCAGCCCTCACGTGAAGCGGGGTTCAATGACTATTCGGGAGTGCGGGTAGAACGCTGACATTTTAAGGCCAGTGATGGTTAAGATGGTAGAGGCACAAGGTATGCCAAAGTCAAAAGTCTGGGCTGCCTTCGCATCCGATGTCCACCTCCGACGAGCTAGCTTGTGAGCAGGATTCGGAGCCACATTCGAGCTCCCCGAATTCATAAAGCTCCATAGAACCGAGACCAACAATAGTCTTGTCGCAGGGGAGATACTGGCCTGCGCTTATTTTCTCAAAGACCTTCTGGTTAGAATGTTCAACATGTAGAAAGCGCCTTGTTGGCACTGGCAAGACATTGTCACCATCTGCAAGGCAGCCTAATTGCAGTCACGTGATTTCGGTCCGGCAATACTATACCGTCAGTCTTTTGCCGAGTCTGGGGAGATTGTGGCCCCCACCAGGAACTATACTGCCAACTTGACATCAAGAAATGCGCAGCTTTCGTTCAGGTCTTCACGCTGCAGGAGGAGTCTTCAGGACTCGGGCTGATGGCTTCAAGGTTTGAGGGTTGCTGGCTACCATGCCAAGCCCGATTCCGGGGTCAAGTTGTGTCAAAACTGGTTTTTCGGTGCTGTGCGCCACAAGGCCCCCTGCAGGTGTGCTTTCGCATAGTGGTGTACAGCCACAGGTTCAAAGTTGCAGGGTGGTGAGGTTCTAGGCGCCGGTCGTCTGGGGAAGTCTTCTGCAGCTACAGATCATTCCCTGGTTGCTCAGCGCCTGCAAAACAGCGACTTGCCTGCTTGTAGACGGCCTAGAGCACTCGGGTGAAACTTCGTCTTCAGACCGTCGTCAGAGATCGGAGTTGCGAGGCCTTGCCACCCTGGAGTTGATGTGATTGCTAGCTGCCAGCTCCTGGCTTACTGTTGTTACAGTTCTCACGATTGTTAGGGGAACCTTACCTCCATCCGGGCTCGTGTGCAGGACTCTGCTTGCAGGAGTGGAGCAAAGACGAGTGGCGTTTCTCCAAATGCGACGAGACGGCGACAGGCAGACAATGAGTGCTTGCGGCCTCCAGCTGTGCCCCACTTCTATACCTCTGCGACCACCTGCACCCAGCCCTTGCTGCGAGCGGCAGGGCAATGGTTCGCGCCCAAGAACGAGGACCTGCAGGCGCGAAGCTTGCTGGACGCCTTTGGATGTCGAAGATTCTCGAGATATCCATTGCGGGAGTATACACGTGAACCTAAATAACCTAAGAGACGATTCCATGTTCGGTCCTCCTCTGAGCCACATTCTCGCCGGGGCACAGCCGTTTCGAGCTCTAGAAGCACGCTCAACATGCGGCATACCCCGTCTATAGCATGAGTGAAGGGACAAGAGCAGGAACGGTCTTTGCCATGGGAGGCATGTTGGCCAAAGCGGCAGCTGCAGCAATAGTACTGATAGCTAGAAAACAGTGGCTATACCGACTGCACCCAGTGGGGTTGGGATATTGCCGCAAAAAGAAATTCAGAATCGGAATGGCCTGCAGGCACTTCGGATTCAGGGGTCGGGCTTCCAATTTACAGTTTCACGTCTCGTGATCTCTCAGCCCATGGCCTGCTGTGCTTCGGGGAAATCCCGGACACCGCTAGAGATCCATGCCAGATCGTTGCCAGATGAAGCAGACGCCGCTGAGCTTCATAAAAGAGACGCCTATGTGCGGGGCACCTGTGGTCTCAGGCATACACGCAGGTAGGGGCAGGAACACTTTGGGTGTTGCCATTGCCGTGGACTTGTTTGATCTTGTCCCTATAGATTTGGGTCGTCAGAGCGCAGCAGGTTGCAGATTCAGTGTCGTATTGCTGGGCTCAAACTCTAAGTTGGCTTCGTCGCTTGCCTAGGTTTGAGGCTGTTTCGGGAGATTCAGAGCTTTAGAGGCGGCTGGTGTCTCGCGACCGAGCTCCCCAGGCTTCTTCGATGCTCTTCCCCATGTACACCGTTGCGGTGGACGTTCTTCTGAAGATGACGAGGGTGGAGCCACACGAGGAGTTGAAGGCTAGTGGTGCCAGGAATTCCAGTAAGCGCACACCTGTGGAAATCGACACATCCAGTATGTTAAGTTTTGGCGGGATGCCCGACGGTGCAGACGGTGCAGATGTGCTCAACCGCTTAACATGCTGGAAGCTCAGTGCAATCACGAGCCCTTCTCACTGCTCGTTTCTTCTCCCTGTGAGAGCGTGCATCTTAGCACGATGGCTTCGAGCCCCGCATTGGCCGCCCGAGTGCAGCCAATGGCACGTATAATGGCATGTTACATGCCACACGGATGTCCGTCCCGGCAGCATGTGATCTCGCCCCACTGCAGTCTCATCCGACTCCGATCTAAGAGTCAGCCAATCGCTTGTTTAGAGGTTCCCCCCGCAGTCTCCGCCGTGCCCTCGCGCGTGGGGATGGATAGGCCACTTGAAGGGACGCCCTGTTGTGGACATGCATGTGCGTGTGCGTGTGCGTGTGCGTGGGCGCGGGCGTGGGCGTGGGCGTGGGCGTGGGCGTGGGCGTGGGCGTGGGCGTGTGCGTGTGCATGTGCGTGTGCGTGTGCGTGTGCGTGTGCGTGTGCGTGTGCGTGTGCGTGTGCGTGTGTGCGTGTGTGTGTGTGTGTGTTTGTGTGTGTGTGTGTGTGTGTGTGTGTGTGCGTGTGTGTCTGTGTGTGTGTGACGCTTGCTGTCCGACGTGGTGCAGGCACGGGGCGAGCTCACCGTCTTCAGTGAGTACATAGGGAGGGCAGCTTTCGTGTCGCACCAGTGGCTTGCCAAGCACCACCCCGACCCCGACTTCAAGCAGATCCACACTCTACAGGGTGCTGTCAGGCAGCTCCTGAAGGGGCTTGGATTTGCTTCACTGGACGGAACCACGGAAAGCGTTGTGCGAACGGCCAAGCCGTTCCCGATGGAGGCCTTTCAGGTGGAGCCCCTGTTTTTCTGGTACGATTATTTCTCATGCCCACAGCACAACGATGGAGGAGACACCAGCCAGCAGGCCCACGCAATTGGCAGCATCCCAGCCTATGTAGCAAGGAGCCACTTTTTTCTGGCGCTGTGCCCCGTGCTCGATTGCCCCTTGGAGGCCAAGGTGTTATCCGTGGAAAGTTGGAGTACACGAGCATGGTGCCGCCTAGAAAGAGCTGCACGTGAGCTGTCGCCAGACAACCTCTGGATTTTGATAGAGAGCGAGACTTCGATTCAAACCGTTGGCACAGCGCTCTCCTTTCCGACTGGCCCCGTCGGAGAAGGCGACTTCACTAACGAAGACGATCGCCAGAAAGTGGGCAAGGTTATGAGGAAGATCCTTATGCAAAAGCTGAACCACTCCTTGCGAGTGGGCGACCTCTCTGGATTCCGGCGCCACTTCAACCTACAGACTGTTCATCTGCGTGGGCTGGAGATCCTGCCGTTGGCTGGCATGCTCTCCAGCTGCGAGGGCGATGGTGGCGTGGTGGCAGAGTTTCTGCACCAGAACGGATTGAGGAACGTCGCCCAGGCCGACAGCTCCGGGTGGCGGCCGCTGCACTACGCAGCGTTGGCTGGGAATACCGAGGTGTTGAGAGGCTTACTGGAGCAGCGTGCAGATGTGAACCGGCGGACGTCGAAGGACGAGCCGATGCTTGGGTTTCCGATTTGGATGTCAGCACTGGACTTGGCGGCTTTCTTCAAGCACCAGGAGGCCATGCAGTTTCTTCTGGCGGCGAGGGCCCACCTTGAGGGTGGACTGGCCCCTAGCATGAACTTTGCAGCCTCTTCTGACAATGTCGAGGGCATCCGATTGCTGTGCCGCGCAGGTGGCAAGCCGCTGGGCCAAAGCTTGCTTGGCATCAGCAGCTTTGAGGCTGCAGCTTCTTCGGGATGCACTGCAGCCATGGAGGAGCTGATGCTACAGGCCTGCCCGGGTTCGTTAAATCTCTCCCGAGCACTCTGGTTCGCTGCGGCCTCTCGTGGAGGTTCTGCGGAGCTGGTACAGCGCCTGATCGACCTCCGTGCTGACATCAATTTTCAAGTCAATTTGCGACGCGACTTCAGGCGACTGAATCGGCTGTTTCTTGGCTTAAAGTCCTTGGAGTATCAGATGGGCCGAACTACAGTTCTGGCGACCGTTGCTTATCATATGCACGGCAGCACGCCACTGATGCACTTCATCAATTCTGCTCAGTTCGAGGGTGCCGCAGCTCTCATCGCGGCCGGTGCGAGACTGGACATCCGGAACTGCCGCAACTGGACTGCGGCCGACTTTGCCAAGGGCCGGTCGATCCCTGATTTCCTCCAGTTGGGCCTGGAAGGCGATCCATCGGAGTGCCGGCGCTTGTTCTCACTGGCTTTGGCTGATGGCTACGTGGAAGTTCCATTTTGAGAATGTTGAGGGTTGTTGCAATGCAAGGCTTGTTGGAGCCTGTGCCGTAAGTGTGACACTTGTACTATAGATTCGATCCCTTTCGTCGAAGTGTCATAGTCTCTCTGCAGTGCGACCGTGAACATTTGGTTGCCCGCAGTGTCCCGGCAGGACTCCGTCACCATCAAGCATCTGTCAGCTTGAGATAAACAGGAGAGTCCTTTTCTCAGCCAAAACCCTAAACCCTAAGATTCAGAATTCGTCTCTGCAGCGTAGCAACGTTTCATTCCGGTCTGAGAAGATTCGTCTCAGATCGTGTCCACATGAACCAAGACGCCGCCGAAGCGATTGTTAGGGTTCAGGGGAATTCAATCGTCGACTGGGGCGAGCGAGGTTACGGGTGATCTGCAGGAAGAGGTGGGCACTTGGATGTCACTCGATGATTGTGATGTGAAGAAGTCCTTTGTCGCTGCCCGCCGAAATTCAACCCCTCCAGCATAGGCGCAAATCACACTTTCCAACTGCATTTGCATGGAGCATATTGGAATTTTAGTCTGTTGACAAGACGCACAGGAGCTAAAATGGTCTCTGTTGGCATTAGACTATCATTAGACACGGAATGGCAAGAGGAAGTGTCACCCTATCCACACCTCATCACCTCTCTATGTTTCAGGGCCGGAGGTACTAAGACTACTAAGATTTTCGGCGGCAGCTTGTAGCAGCTTTGCCGAGATAGTTGGCAACATTTGCTGCTGATGCGGGGCTGCGGCTGCCCCGCTCTTCCGCTTCACCATCTGGGTAGTTCTCTAAAGTAGGGTGAATTTCAGGTCCCCAGGATAGTACCGCACCCTCATCACAAGGAGCCTAAACCTAAACGGGACCCTAATTTAGAGAGCCACCCGTCTGAGCCCATGGCCTTCTGTGGCTCGGGAAAATCATGGACACCGCTGGAGATCCATGCCAGATCGCTACCAGAAGAAGCCGACGCCGCTAGGCCTCATCTTTGCTTAGCTAGACTGCCCCAGGTTGCTGTGTCAGTTAAGCTCTGCACAAAGGAGCTTCGTCGCATGCTTGGGGGTGCTGGAGTAGATTTGGGCGATGGGGCGGGGGGCCTTAGAGCTTTCGGGTCGGCTGGGACCCTTCTCCTGAGGCTCCCTCGATGCTCTTCCCCATGTACACGGTCGCGTCGGACGTTCTACTGAAGATGACGAGGGTGGAGCCACACGAGGTGTTGAAGGCCGGTTCCGTCACCCCAAGCTCTGGTAAACCCCCAGCATATCCCGCCCTCTAGCATTGCGTATCTGTTTCATTCTGCAGAACGACCGCAGTCAAACCACAGGAACTACAGCGCCTAAGGCAAGCTCAAACAGCAGCGTCTTGTTTTGTCGCTTGTTTCCAAACCTGTCGGCTTCGTGGATTCGGCAAAACCGAGAGCAATTTACGTTACAGTTCTTGATGGGTGTGCATGCGTGAAGTTCGTCTTGTCTGAGGATGCATATACTGACAGCCTAAACCCCACGTGTTCTGCAAGCGGCATATAGGAGCAGTGTTCCTTGCCGGTTTTGTGCGTTTGTGTAGTAATCTCCATCACCAGTGCTTCTGCCGCACTGCGGCACGGGGGGGTAACCTCGTCACCCCCCGAAGCTCGCGACTCAAGTGCAGCTGAGTGAAGCCGGGCAACAGATCACCCACAGCAAACAAATGTCGTTCTGCAGGCTAGGCAATTCACCTTTGCTGTTAGCTACCTCGTTCGCTCTGCAGTCGTCGCCTCACTCCACCAACCTGCGACTCCGTTCTGCTTTCGGATCTGACATGCTGATCATGCCTCAGGCACGGGGCGAGCTCACCGTCTTCAGTGAGGACATCGGGAGGGCAGCTTTCGTGTCACACCAGTGGCTAGCCAAGCACCACCCCGACCCCGACTTCAAGCAGATGCACACGTTACAGGGTGCTGTCACGCGGCTCCTGAGGGGCCGTGGATTTGTTTCACTCGATGGAACCACGGAAAGTGCCGTGAGAACGGCCAAGCCGTTCCCCATGAAGGCTTTCCAGGCGCAGCCTTTGTTTTTCTGGTACGACTATTTTTCCTGCCCACAGCTGGAGCAGCGCACGTCTTCTGGAGCCGATGACGAAGACGGCAGCCAACAGGCCAACGCCATTAACAGCATCCCAGCCTATGTATCCAAGAGCCACTTTTTTCTGGCTCTCTGCCCGGTGCTCGATTGTCCCTTCGAGGCCAACGTGTTATCCGTGCAAACTTGGAGCAGGCGAGGGTGGTGCCGCCTAGAAAGAGCTGCACGCGAGCTGTCGCCAGACAGCCTCTGGATTTTGATAGAGAGCGAGACTTCCATGAAAGCTGTTGGTACAGCGCTGTCATTTCCGACTGGCTCCGTCGGGGAAGGCGACTTTACAGTCGCGGACGATCGCCAGAAGCTGGCCCCTGTTTTGCGGAAGATTCTTATGCAAAAGCTGAACCACTCCTTGCGAGTGGGCGACCTCCCTGGATTCCGGCGCCACTTCAACCTACAGACTGTTCATCTGCGTGGGTTGGAGATCCTGCCGTTGGCTGGCATGCTCTCCAGCTGCGAGGGCGATGGTGGCGTGGTGGCAGAGTTTCTGCACCAGAACGGCTTTAGGAACGTCGGCGAGGCCGACAGTGCCGGGTGGTGGCCGCTGCACTACGCAGCGTTGGCTGGGAACACCGAGGTGTTGAGAGGACTGCTGCAGCAGCGGGCAGATGTGAACTGCCGGACGTCGAGGGACGAGCCGATGCTTGGGTTTCCGATTTGGATGCCCCCACTGAGTCTGGCGATTTTTTTCAAGCACCACGAGGCCACGCAGTTACTTCTGGCGGCGAGGGCCCAGCTTGAAGGTGGAGTAGCTGGAGGCACCATGCATATTGCAGCCATGTCTGACAATGTTGAGGACATCAGGCTCCTGTGTCGCGCAGGCGGCAACCCCCTGGCCCAAAGTTTAATCGGTGCCAATAGTTTTGAGGCCGCCGCCTCTTCAGGATCCACAGCAGCTTTGGAGGAGCTGCTGCTACAGGGCTGCCCAGGCTTCTTGGATCTTTCACGGGCACTCTGGTCTGCTACGGGCTCTCGCGGCGGTTCTGCAGAGCTGGTGCAGCGCCTGATCGGCCTCCGTGCTGACATGAACTTTCAGTTCAATCTGCAGCGCGACTTTAGGCGACTGGGCCGGCTGCTTCTTGGCGCAAAGGCCTTGCAGTATCGGTTGGGACGAACCACTGTTCTGACGACCGTTGCCTACCACGTGCATGGCAGCACGCCGCTGATGCAAGCCATCAGCTCCGCTCAGTTCGAGGGCGCCGCAGCTCTCATCGCGGCCGGTGCGAGGCTCGACATCCGGAACTGCCGCAACTGGACTGCGGCCGACTTTGCCAAGGGCCGGTCGATCCCTGATTTCCTGCAGCTGGGCCTGGAGGGGGACCGATCGGAGTGCCAGCGCGTGTTCTCACTGGCTTTGGCTGATGGCTACGTGGAAGTTCCCTTTTGAGTTTTCCTTTCGAAGCAGCCGTGCTCTAGAGGCCGGGTTGTCCATGGGCAAGGATGGGACGGAAAACACCATCTGGACAGCACGGCCGCAGGCGTTAGGGGGATGGAGCAGAAGCTTTGCACCACCTTCAAGTTGGTTTAGTGAGTTTAATGGTCCGGAATCTTTGTCTGTCGCCGTGGTCGTGGTGGCGGCAGCGGCAAAAGCAACAGCTGGCGGAATCGCTAGGGCTTCAGGATGCTCAAGGCCATACTAGTACTGGATCTGGGGATATCGGGCGAGGTTTCCTTGTTGCAGGCATAGAATCATCCTGAACTGTGCGGAAGAGCCCCCACTTCCCGAACTCGTGTTGCAAAAGCAGTGGATGCATTCCGGCCATGTTCTAAAGATCTTGTGACTGAAACTTCCGCCCGATTCGTGAAACTCCATTCACGGCCGAATCATAGCCGTGAGCAGAATTCTTTCGGATATGGAGACGTTACCGCAAAACGCCAGTCCTAACGGAACGGCACGATCCCTCGGAGGCGCTGTCGTTGAAGTTGTTGCCCGCCCTGCATCTGTCGGGATCTGCTCCTGATAGCAGTAGCACCACCGACACGAGCTGGAATGGCCGACATCAGAGGGCTAGCGACAACGGCGGAGGTACTGCTAGCCATCCCAACCGCAACACATCACCTTCGCTTCTGGCATGGGCAGTAGTGATTCTGATTGTAGTTTGTTGAAGCAGCTTCCTCCGGCAAGTGTACCGAGGCTGTAAGTTGCGGTGGGCTGCGCTTACGAGGGTCATCCTTGGTTTCACCGCTCCCAATCTCTCAGCCCATGGCCTGCTGCGCCTCGGGGAACTCCTGGACACCGCTGGAGATCCGCGCCAGGGCGCTGCCAGACGAAGCCGACGACGCAGGGGCCTCAGCTTTTCCAGAGTGCGGCAGGTTGCTGAGTTGCTGGTAGTAGGTTTGGGGCGATTATTGGCGAGATTGGCGATTGAGAGGAGATTTAGATGCACCAGCTGGTGCATCGCCACCCGGCTCCCGAGGATCCGTCGATGCTCTTCCCCATGTACACCGTCGCGTCGGACGTTCTACTGAAGATGACGAGGGTGGAGCCGCACGAGGAGTTGAAGGCCGCTTCCGTCACGAACCCCAAGCTTCATTCTGCAGATGAGACCGATTGAAGCTGCTGCAGTGCAGCTGGTGTAGTTGTTTGTCTCCACACCTGCCCCTGCTGGACTCATGCATTGGCAAGAGTGCGAGTTTCCGTGGTGAATGTCCTTTCAGGGCTTGTGGATACAGCGGGCTAAATTTCTAAAGTTGCGTACTTACCACTTAGACAAGGCTTGGTGGCAAGTGGCACACGGAGACATTTCACAAGTTCACAAGCACCCAGCGAGACCTTCGCTCCCCGCAGGATAGCATCCCACGACTTTGTTTAACAAGCAATTTGGCTTTTGTGTGCTGCGTTCGTGCCTTTCGTTGTCAACGTTTGTGGAACGGGCCAAGAGTGGTCTTTGACCGATGTTTCTGAACCGAAGGGGTTTAGGCACTGCTCTTGCGAAACCTAATCGTTTGATCGGTAACAGATGATGGCCGGTTGAGGACACAAGACGGGCGTCCAGCAAGTTCTGCCTTTATTTCAACATCCACGCATCTATCCATCCATCGATCGATCCACCTGTGTGTTGATCTATCTGTCTCTTTAAGGGCTGCTAGCTACTTCTGTTTGCCATCGCCGGTTTCGGTTTCGTCCGTCGACAGGAATGGTCCCGGACCAGCTCAGTTCTCCTTTCTCCATGCATGCATCGCACGCATTTAGTCCTAGGCATGGCGGCCCGAATGCTCATGGCACATTAAATGTGGATCACGCGGATGTCTTTTCCCGAAGCTAGCCCAGCGAGACAATTCACCTTCCTGCAGTTGCTGATGCATGCCTGAACGGTTGTCATCTCGCTCCGCTGCAGTTTTATCCTGTTGGACTCTTCTTTCCGAGTCAGCCAATGGCTTATGGAGTAGCCCCGCCCCCGCAGTGCTGGTGGGGATGGATGGGCTACTTGAAGGGACGTTCTGTTGTGTGAGCATATATATATATATATATATATCTCTGTATATACATACATATATATATATATATATATATATATGTATCTGTGTGTTTGCGTGTTTGTGTGTGTGTGTGTGTCTGTGTGTGACGGCCTTGCTGTCCTGACGTGGTGCAGGCACGGGGCGACCTCACCTTTTTCAGTGAGGACATCGGGAGGTCAGCTTTCGTGTCGCACCAGTGGCTTGCCAAGCACCACCCCGACCCCGACTTCAAGCAGATGCACATTCTACAGGGTGCTGTCAGGCAGCTCCTTCAGAGTCGTGGATATGTTTCGCTGGACGCACCCACGGAAATGGTTGTGGGAACGGCCAAGCCGTTCCCGATAGAGGCCTTTCAGGTGGAGCCCCTGTTTTTCTGGTACGACTATTTCTCATGCCCACAGCACAACGATGGCCAGCAGGCCGACGCAATTGGCAGCATCCCAGCCTATGTAGCAAGGAGCCACTTTTTTCTGGCGCTGTGCCCCGTGCTCGATTGCCCCTTGGAGGCCAAGGTGTTATCCGTGCAAAGTTGGAGTACACGAGCATGGTGCCGCCTAGAAAGAGCTGCACGAGAGCTGTCGCCGGACAGCTGCTGGATTCTGATAGAGAGCGAGACTTCCATGAAAGCTGTTGGTACAGCGCTGTCATTTCCGACTGGCCCCGTCGGGGAAGGCGACTTTACAGTGGCGGACGATCGCCAGAAGCTGGCCCCTGTTTTGCGGAAGATTCTTATGCAAAAGCTGAACCACTCCTTGCGAGTGGGCGACCTCCCTGGATTCCGGCGCCACTTCAACCTACAGACTGTTCATCTGCGTGGGCTGGAGATCCTGCCGTTGGCTGGCATGCTCTCCAGCTGCGAGGGCGATGGTGGCATGGTGGCAGAGTTTCTGCACCAGAACGGCTTTAGGAACGTCGGCGAGGCCGACAGCGCCGGGTGGCGGCCGCTGCACTACGCAGCGTTGGCTGGGAACACCGAGGTGTTGAGAGGCCTGCTGGAGCAGCGGGCAGATGTGAACTGCCGGACGTCGAGGGACGAGCCGATGCTTGGGTTTCCGATTTGGACGTCGGCATTGGACTTGGCGGTTTTCTTCAAGCACCAGGAGGCCACGCAGTTGCTTCTGGAGGCGAGGGCCCAACTTGAAGCTAGACTCACTCTCGGCGCCATGCACATTGCAGCCATGTCTGACAATGTCGAGGGTATTCGACTACTGTGTCGAGCAGGCGGCAAACCCTTGGCTAAAATCTTGCTAGTTAGTGGCACTTCCTTGGACTTTGCTGCCGCTTCGGGAGCCACAGCAGCCGTGGAGGAGCTGCTGCTCCTGGGCTGCCCAGACTTCTTGGATCTTTCACGGGCACTCTGGTCTGCTGCAGTCTCTCGCGGTGGTTCCGCGGAGCTGGTGCAGCGCCTGATGGGCCTCCGCGCTGACATCAATTTCCAAAACAATTTGCGGCGCGACTTGAGGCGGACCAGCCGGCTGCTATATGGGGCGAAATCCATGCAGTATTGGTTGGGCCGAACAACTGTCCTGACCTCCATGGCCTACCACATGCATGGCAGCACACCGCTAATGCAGTGCATCAATTCTTCTCAGTTCGAGGGTGCCGCAGCTCTCATCGCGGCCGGCGCCAGACTAGACATCCGGAACTGCCGCAACTGGACTGCGGCCGACTTTGCCAAGGGCCGGTCGGTCCCTGATTTCCTGCAGCTGGGCCTGGAGGGGGACCGATCGGAGTGCCGGCGCGTGTTCTCACTGGCCCTGGCTGATGGCTACGTCGAAGTTCGCTTTTGAGTTTTCCTTTCGAAGCAGCCGTGCTCTAGAGGCCGGGTTGTCCATGGGCAAGGCTGGGACGGAAAACACCATCTGGACAGCACGGCCGCAGGCGTTAGGGGGATAGAGCAGAAGCTTTGCACCACCTTCAAGTCGGTTCTTTGGGCTGACACCTCGGACTCGCTGGCTTCAATTAATGGATATTAATGGTTTAGTGAGTTTAATGGTCCGGAATTTTTGTCTGTCGCCGTGGTCGTGGTGGCGTCAGTGGCAAAAGCAACAGCCGGCGGAATCGCTAGGGCTTCAGGATGCTCAAGGCCATACTAGTACTGGATCTGGGGATATCGGGCGAGGTTTCCTTGTCGCAGGCATAGAATCATCCTGAACTGTGCTGAAGAGCCCCCACTTCCCGAACTCGTGTTGCAAAAGCAGTGGATGCATTCCGGCCATGTTCTAAAGATCTTGTGACTGAAACTTCCACCCGATTCGTGAAACTCCATTCACGGCCGAATCATAGCCGTGAGCAGAATTCTTTCGGATATGGAGACGTTACCGCAAAACGCCAGTCCTAACGGAACGGCACGATCCCTCGGAGGCGCTGTCGTTGAAGTTGTTGCCCGCCCTGCATCTGTCGGGATCTGCTCCTGATAGCAGTAGCACCACCGACACGAGCTGGAATGGCCGACATCAGAGGGCTAGCGACAACGGCGGAGGTACTGCTAGCCATCCCAACCGCAACACATCACCTTCGCTTCTGGCATGGTAGTGATTGTAGTTTGTTGAAGCAGCTTCCTCCGGCAAGTGTACCGCGGCTGTAAGTTGCGGTGGGCTGCGCTTACGAGGGTCATCCTTGGTTTCACCGCTCCCAATCTCTCAGCCCATGGCCTGCTGCGCCTCGGGGAACTCCTGGACACCGCTGGAGATCCGCGCCAGGGCGCTGCCAGACGAAGCCGACGACGCAGGGGCCTCAGCTTTTCCAGAGTGCGGCAGGTTGCTGAGTTGCTGGTAGTAGGTTTGGGGCGATTATTGGCGAGATTGGCGATTGAGAGGAGATTTAGATGCACCAGCTGGTGCATCGCCACCCGGCTCCCGAGGATCCCTCGATGCTCTTCCACATGTACACCGTCGCATCGGACGTTCTACTGAAGATGACGAGGGTGGAGCCACACGAGGAGTTGAAGGCCGCTTCCGTCACGAACCCCAAGCTCCAGCAACTTTCATCGTGCCTGACCGTCTGGCCCTTTTGTATCTGTTTCAGTCTGCAGATGAGACCGATTGAAGCTGCTACAGTGCAGCTGGTGTAGTTGTTTGTTTCCACACCTGCCCCTTCTGGTCTCATGCATTGGCAAGAGTGTGAATTTCCGTGGTGAATGTCCTTTCAGGGCTTGTGGATACAGCGGGCTAAATTTCTAAAGTTGCGTACTTACCACTTAGACAAGGCTTGGTGGCAAGTGGCACACGGAGACATTTCACAAGTTCACAAGCACCCAGCGAGACCTTCGCTCCCCGCAGGATAGCATCCCACGACTTTGTTTAATAAGCAATTTGGCTTTTGTGCTGCGTTCGTGCCTTTCGTTGTCAACGTTTGTAGAACGGTTCAAAGAGTGGTCTTTGACCGATGTTTCTGAACCGCAGAGGTTTAGGCACTGCTCTTGCGAAACCTAATCGTCTGATCGGGGCCAGATGATGGCCGGTGCAGGACACAAGACGGGCGTCCAGCAAGTTCTGCCTTCATTTCGGCATCCACGCATCTATCCATCCATGGATCGATCCACCTATGTGTTGATATATCTGTCTCTTTAAGGGCTGCTAGCTACTTCTGTTTGCCATCGCCGGTCTCGGTTTCGTCCGTCTACAGGAATGGTCTATTGCCGGACCAGCTTAGTTCTCCTTTCTCCGCCCGGCATGCATGCATCGCACGCACCGCATTTAGTCCTAGGCATGGCAGCCCGAATGCTCATGGCACATTAAATGTCGATCACGCGGATGTCTTTTCCCGAAGCTAGCCCAGCGAGACAATTCACCTTCCTGCAGTTGCTGATGCATGCCTGAACGGTTGTCATCTCGCTCCGCTGCAGTTTTATCCTCTTGGACTCCTGTTTCCGAGTCAGCCAATGGCTTGTGGAGTGCCCTGCCCCCGCAGCGCTCGTGGGGGATTGATGGGCTACTTGAAGGGACGTTCTGTTATGTGAGTATATATATATATATATATATATGTATCTCTGTGTATATATATATATATATATATATATATGTATCTGTGTGTTTGCGTGTTTGTGTGTGTGTGTGTGTGTGTCTGTGTGTGACGGCCTTGCTGTCCTGACGTGGTGCAGGCACGGGGCGACCTCACCTTTTTCAGTGAGGACATCGGGAGGGCAGCTTTCGTGTCGCACCAGTGGCTTGCCAAGCACCACCCCGACCCCGACTTCAAGCAGATGTACATTCTACAGGGTGCTGTCAGGCAGCTCCTTCAGAGTCGTGGATATGTTTCGCTGGACGCACCCACGGAAATGGTTGTGGGAACGGCCAAGCCGTTCCCGATGGAGGCCTTTCAGGTGGAGCCCCTGTTTTTCTGGTACGACTATTTCTCATGCCCACAGCACAACGATGGCCAGCAGGCCGACGCAATTGGCAGCATCCCAGCCTATGTAGCAAGGAGCCACTTTTTTCTGGCGCTGTGCCCCGTGCTCGATTGCCCCTTGGAGGCCAAGGTGTTATCCGTGCAAAGTTGGAGTACACGAGCATGGTGCCGCCTAGAAAGAGCTGCACGAGAGCTGTCGCCGGACAGCTGCTGGATTCTGATAGAGAGCGAGACTTCCATGAAAGCTGTTGGTACAGCGCTGTCATTTCCGACTGGCCCCGTCGGGGAAGGCGACTTTACAGTGGCGGACGATCGCCAGAAGCTGGCCCCTGTTTTGCGGAAGATTCTTATGCAAAAGCTGAACCACTCCTTGCGAGTGGGCGACCTCCCTGGATTCCGGCGCCACTTCAACCTACAGACTGTTCATCTGCGTGGGCTGGAGATCCTGCCGTTGGCTGGCATGCTCTCCAGCTGCGAGGGCGATGGTGGCATGGTGGCAGAGTTTCTGCACCAGAACGGCTTTAGGAACGTCGGCGAGGCCGACAGCGCCGGGTGGCGGCCGCTGCACTACGCAGCGTTGGCTGGGAACACCGAGGTGTTGAGAGGCCTGCTGGAGCAGCGCGCAGATGTGAACCGGCGGACGTCGAAGGACGAGCCGATGCTTGGGTTTCCGATCTGGACGTCGGCATTGGACTTGGCGGCTTTCTTCAAGCACCAGGAGGCCACGCAGTTGCTTCTGGAGGCGAGGGCCCAACTTGAAGCTAGACTCACTCTCGGCGCCATGTACATTGCAGCCATGTCTGACAATGTCGAGGGTATTCGACTACTGTGTCGAGCAGGCGGCAAACCCTTGGCTAAGAACTTGCTAGTTAGTGGCACTTCCTTGGAGTTTGCTGCCGCTTCGGGAGCCACAGCAGCCATGGATGAGCTGATGCTCCAGGGCTGCCCGGGTTTGCCGGAGCTTTCACGGGCACTCTGGTCTGCATCATTCTCTCGCGGGGGTTCTGCAGAGCTGGTGCAGCGCCTGATGGGCCTCCGCGCTGACATCAATTTCCAGCTCAATTTGCGGCGCGACTTGAGGCGGACCAGCCGGCTGCTATATGGGGCGAAATCCTTGCAGTATTGGTTGGGCCGAACAACTGTCCTGACCTCCATGGCCTACCACATGCATGGCAGCACACCGCTAATGCAGTGCATCAATTCTTCTCAGTTCGAGGGTGCCGCAGCTCTCATCGCGGCCGGCGCCAGACTAGACATCCGGAACTGCCGCAACTGGACTGCGGCCGACTTTGCCAAGGGCCGGTCGGTCCCTGATTTCCTGCAGCTGGGCCTGGAGGGGGACCGATCGGAGTGCCGGCGCGTGTTCTCACTGGCCCTGGCTGATGGCTACGTCGAAGTTCGCTTTTGAGTTTTTCCTTTCGAAGCAGCCGTGCTCTAGAGGCCGGGTTGTCCATGGGCAAGGTTTGGACGGAAAACACCATCTGGACAGCACGGCCGCAGGCGTTAGGGGGATAGAGCAGAAGCTTTGCACCACCTTCAAGTCGGTTCTTTGGGCTGACACCTCGGACTCACTGGCTTCAACTAATGGATATTAATGGTTTAGTGAGTTTAATGGTCCGGAATCTTTGTCTGTCGCCGTGGTCGTGGTGGCGGCAGTGGCAAAAGCAACAGCTGGCGGAATCGCTAGGGCTTCAGGATGCTCAAGGCCATACTAGTACTGGATCTGGGGATATCGGGCGAGGTTTCCTTGTCGCAGGCATAGAATCATCCTGAACTGTGCGGAAGAGACCCCACTTCCCGAACTCGTGTTGCAAAAGCAGTGGATGCATTCCGGCCATGTTCTAAAGATCTTGTGACTGAAACTTCCACCCGATTCGTGAAACTCCATTCACGGCCGAATCATAGCCGTGAGCAGAATTCCTTCGGATATGGAGACGTTACCGCAAAACGCCAGTCCTAACGGAACGGCACGATCCCTCGGAGGCGCTGTCGTTGAAGTTGTTGCCCGCCCTGCATCTGTCGGGATCTGCTCCTGATAGCAGTAGCACCACCGACACGAGCTGGAATGGCCGACATCAGAGGGCTAGCGACAACGGCGGAGGTACTGCTAGCCATCCCAACCGCAACACATCACCTTCGCTTCTGGCATGGTAGTGATTGTAGTTTGTTGAAGCAGCTTCCTCCGGCAAGTGTACCGCGGCTGTAAGTTGCGGTGGGCTGCGCTTACGAGGGTCATCCTTGGTTTCACCGCTCCCAATCTCTCAGCCCATGGCCTGCTGCGCCTCGGGGAACTCCTGGACACCGCTGGAGATCCGCGCCAGGGCGCTGCCAGACGAAGCCGACGACGCAGGGGCCTCAGCTTTTCCAGAGTGCGGCAGGTTGCTGAGTTGCTGGTAGTAGGTTTGGGGCGATTATTGGCGAGATTGGCGATTGAGAGGAGATTTAGATGCACCAGCTGGTGCATCGCCACCCGGCTCCCGAGGATCCCTCGATGCTCTTCCACATGTACACCGTCGCATCGGACGTTCTACTGAAGATGACGAGGGTGGAGCCACACGAGGAGTTGAAGGCCGCTTCCGTCACGAACCCCAAGCTCCAGCAACTTTCATCGTGCCTGACCGTCTGGCCCTTTTGTATCTGTTTCAGTCTGCAGATGAGACCGATTGAAGCTGCTACAGTGCAGCTGGTGTAGTTGTTTGTTTCCACACCTGCCCCTTCTGGTCTCATGCATTGGCAAGAGTGTGAATTTCCGTGGTGAATGTCCTTTCAGGGCTTGTGGATACAGCGGGCTAAATTTCTAAAGTTGCGTACTTACCACTTAGACAAGGCTTGGTGGCAAGTGGCACACGGAGACATTTCACAAGTTCACAAGCACCCAGCGAGACCTTCGCTCCCCGCAGGATAGCATCCCACGACTTTGTTTAATAAGCAATTTGGCTTTTGTGCTGCGTTCGTGCCTTTCGTTGTCAACGTTTGTAGAACGGTTCAAAGAGTGGTCTTTGACCGATGTTTCTGAACCGCAGAGGTTTAGGCACTGCTCTTGCGAAACCTAATCGTCTGATCGGGGCCAGATGATGGCCGGTGCAGGACACAAGACGGGCGTCCAGCAAGTTCTGCCTTCATTTCGGCATCCACGCATCTATCCATCCATGGATCGATCCACCTATGTGTTGATATATCTGTCTCTTTAAGGGCTGCTAGCTACTTCTGTTTGCCATCGCCGGTCTCGGTTTCGTCCGTCTACAGGAATGGTCTATTGCCGGACCAGCTTAGTTCTCCTTTCTCCGCCCGGCATGCATGCATCGCACGCACCGCATTTAGTCCTAGGCATGGCAGCCCGAATGCTCATGGCACATTAAATGTCGATCACGCGGATGTCTTTTCCCGAAGCTAGCCCAGCGAGACAATTCACCTTCCTGCAGTTGCTGATGCATGCCTGAACGGTTGTCATCTCGCTCCGCTGCAGTTTTATCCTGTTGGACTCTTCTTTCCGAGTCAGCCAATGGCTTATGGAGTAGCCCCGCCCCCGCAGTGCTGGTGGGGATGGATGGGCTACTTGAAGGGACGTTCTGTTGTGTGAGCATATATATATATATATATATATCTCTGTATATACATACATATATATATATATATATATATATATGTATCTGTGTGTTTGCGTGTTTGTGTGTGTGTGTGTGTCTGTGTGTGACGGCCTTGCTGTCCTGACGTGGTGCAGGCACGGGGCGACCTCACCTTTTTCAGTGAGGACATCGGGAGGTCAGCTTTCGTGTCGCACCAGTGGCTTGCCAAGCACCACCCCGACCCCGACTTCAAGCAGATGCACATTCTACAGGGTGCTGTCAGGCAGCTCCTTCAGAGTCGTGGATATGTTTCGCTGGACGCACCCACGGAAATGGTTGTGGGAACGGCCAAGCCGTTCCCGATAGAGGCCTTTCAGGTGGAGCCCCTGTTTTTCTGGTACGACTATTTCTCATGCCCACAGCACAACGATGGCCAGCAGGCCGACGCAATTGGCAGCATCCCAGCCTATGTAGCAAGGAGCCACTTTTTTCTGGCGCTGTGCCCCGTGCTCGATTGCCCCTTGGAGGCCAAGGTGTTATCCGTGCAAAGTTGGAGTACACGAGCATGGTGCCGCCTAGAAAGAGCTGCACGAGAGCTGTCGCCGGACAGCTGCTGGATTCTGATAGAGAGCGAGACTTCCATGAAAGCTGTTGGTACAGCGCTGTCATTTCCGACTGGCCCCGTCGGGGAAGGCGACTTTACAGTGGCGGACGATCGCCAGAAGCTGGCCCCTGTTTTGCGGAAGATTCTTATGCAAAAGCTGAACCACTCCTTGCGAGTGGGCGACCTCCCTGGATTCCGGCGCCACTTCAACCTACAGACTGTTCATCTGCGTGGGCTGGAGATCCTGCCGTTGGCTGGCATGCTCTCCAGCTGCGAGGGCGATGGTGGCGTGGTGGCAGAGTTTCTGCACCAGAACGGCTTTAGGAACGTCGGCGAGGCCGACAGCGCCGGGTGGCGGCCGCTGCACTACGCAGCATTGGCTGGGAACACCGAGGTGTTGAGAGGACTGCTGGAGCGGCGTGCAGATGTGAACCGGCGGACGTCGAAGGACGAGCCGATGAATGGGTTTCCGATTTGGACGTCGGCGCTGGACTTGGCGGTTTTCTTCAAGCATCAGGAGGCCACGCAGTTGCTTCTGGAGACGAGGGCCCAGCTTGAAGGTAGACTCACTCTCGGCGCCATTCACATTGCAGCCATGTCTGACAATGCCGAGGGTGTTCGACTACTGTGTCGTGCAGGCGGCAAACCCTGGGCTCCAAATGTTCTACTTAGTGGCACTTCCTTTGAGTTTGCTGCCTCTTCCGGATCCACAGCAGCTTTGGAGGAGCTGATGCTCCTGGGCTGCCCAGACTTCTTGGATCTTTCACGGGCACTCTGGTCTGCTGCAGTCTCTCGCGGCGGTTCTGCAGAGCTGGTGCAGCGCCTGATGGGCCTCCGCGCTGACATCAACTTTCAGTTCAATCTGCAGCGCGACTTGGGGTGGTCCGGCCGGCTGCTATTTGGGGCGAAATCCTTGCAGTACTGGTTGGGCCGAACAACTGTCCTGACCTCCATGACCTACCACATGCATGGCAGCACACCGCTAATGCAGTGCATCAATTCTTCTCAGTTCGAGGGTGCCGCAGCTCTCATCGCGGCCGGCGCCAGACTAGACATCCGGAACTGCCGCAACTGGACTGCGGCCGACTTTGCCAAGGGCCGGTCGGTCCCTGATTTCCTGCAGCTGGGCCTGGAAGGGGACCCGTCGGAGTGCCGACGCGTGTTCTCACTGGCCCTGGCTGATGGCTATGTCGAAGTTTCCTTGTGAAGTGCCTTCAGTAGGGGCCTTAACAATTACCTATACTATTCTGCGGGGTTCCTCATTCTAAGTATAGTATAATTTGCCACAAAACCCTATTCTAATGATTAAGGCCCCTATACCTAGAACCCTACGACAGATCCCTTGAAGGAACCCTTTAGAGGGAACCCTATTCCAATTATTAAGGCCCCTGTACCTAGAAGCCTACGATAGATCCCTTTAAGGAACCCTGTAGAGGGAACCCTATTCTAACTATTAAGGCCCCTACAAAAAGCCCCAAACTGGGGGTCGCATCCCTGCCGTCTCAGGCGACGTCCTTTGCCCGAAAATCGGACCGCAGAGCCGAGATATTCTTACCTTTGGTTAGTAGGGAATGGAAGAATGGTGGCAATAGTAGTTATATTTATACCCCACTCCTCCATTCCCTACTAACCACAAGTAAGTATTGAAGTATTGGAGGTTCATGGTACTTCGTATCTAGGGTTATAAATAAGGTAACTATGCTTAAAAGTAGTTGTTATGGCCCCAGTCAAAGGTACTTATATCTTTTATAACCGTAAACCCTAAGCCCTTAAGTCCCATGAAGTTCCCAGTAAGGAGGCGTCTCTTCCGGTTTTTTTTTGCAGGTCGGCGCGCTGTCCTGCTGTAGCGGTATCGGCCCTTGGAGGCCTTCGCCAGGGTTTCTACAACGGACTTCTTTGGGCTGTTGAAGGTTTTGGGTTTGGAGATGCGCGACTTGGGGAATTCTTGCTTGAGGGTGCGGGGTTTCGGCATTCCGGTGGCGTTTCGCCAGGGCTTGTGTGGGAGATTCACTAGGGCTGTTGGGTTTAAGGCCTAGTTCAACTGTAAACCGCAAAGCCTTTGGGGCGGAAATTCCGAAACCCTCGTCAGCATGTCAATGTTGATTTCGCTTGTTCGTTCATATAGATGCAAGGATTGTTGCAACTACCATTCCTTAGGGTGCCTCTTTCCCTCAGATGCTTGGAGGCTAAGACCCGAACGAAGAAGCCGTGAATCATGCAAATTGAGGCATTCAGGGA